TAACGAACGAGTTGTGATATATAAACACCGTATGGTGGAGCCAAAGGAACATCGCCGTCTAAAAAAGGAAAATTAACAATAGGGAATGAAAAATCGTCTCTTTTGTCGTAAATTTTAGTATGGAGTTTCCCTTTAAAAATTGAAATGTCTAAATCTAGAAAAGGACAACTATTGCTGTTTATGTTAGATTTATTCAAAGTCAGTTCCTTAAGGTAAATTTCGGTAGTATATTTAGAGAACTCTGGATTATTTAACGAAAACAAATCATCAAGATAACGGTAGGTATTGTTGAATGTAATAAAGAGATTTGGTATGTATGTCAATGAGACAACTTTCCACCTGATACCAAATGACGTAAAAGTTAGCAAATATAGAACACCTTACGGCCTTCAACAACAAGAAAAATCCATATCACATAGCAAGCTATAAAGGCTCCAACATGACAAAATGTAAACCAACTGAAACGAGAAAACCAACTATCTGATTAATGTACATACAACAAACGAAAAAAAATCAAATATGTTATATAGCAACAAACAACAACCGAATAACAGAATCCTGATCGGATTACACATGTTTTGGAACGTCTAACCCTTTTCTAACCTGGGAAAGTGGTGTAACAGCAGAGTATAAGCTCAAAATATAAAAATCATTTGAAAATGGTTGTGTCGGTATTATAGAGGAGACTACTTTTTCTGTACTGAATTTCGTTGTACTTTGTTTCATGTACATTGTTCAACTGATCGAACTTAAAGGATGGAGGATTTTTATCTCGAAAGACTAGTTTAACACTTCCACGTGTTGATGTGTCGGTCCCACTTCATTAGCATCTAGAGGGTTTGTTTTTAAATACATGAATATATAAAAGTTTTCGTCATTTATGGGATTTATTATTGATGATACTAGTAGATCGTTTATGGTTATGATATATATGTAGGGGTCTACTTTGATGAGAGTTGAAGACCTTTATTTTTCTTAGTGTTTGTGTGTCATTTGGATTGCTATCGCAAAGGTGCAGATCTTATATCATGTATCTCCTTTTATTGATATCAATTATTTCGAAATCGACTGATTTTGAGAATTTTTCCTTTGTAATTTTCCTTAAAATATCTTTTCTAAAACGTTGACGTCAGTCGTTTAACTCGTCTTTCTGCATTTGAATTTGTTGCCCAAATGAGATATTTTTAACTTAATAGGCTATATTCCTTCAATATAACAGATTGGCCTACAAACCCAACGGATTTTGTATGTTTTTCCCTACTATACATTACGATAACAAACCTTTGTACATGTATCTTCGCCCATTAAATTTTACATTTATGTACATATTCATGTTTAGGGGGCTGCTAAAGCCCGCCTCCGGGTGCCCATTTTCCAGCTGTGTTGAAGACATATTGGTGGCATTCGGCTGTTTTCTACTCTTTGGTCAGGTTGTTGTCTCTTTGACGCATTCCCCGTTTCCATTCTCAATTTTATACTATCTTTTTTTTTTAAACAGTGACTTCCCATTACATATTACTGTAATAAAATACACTGCGTTCCCTATTCATTTCAATATGTAATCTTTGATATGTATTAAATCTGATAAGAGCCTTTTGAGGTACCTCAAATTGAATTTAATTTCAGTACATGTTAGTGTATCTTCTAGAATGACCAGTTACATGTTCTAAATTTTACTAAGTTGTAACAAGTAAACATTTTTTTTTGTATTTGCATTCTTTTCTTTTCTTTTTCTTTCTTTCTTTGTGTGTGTTTTTTCTAATTGGTTTTTGTTCTATTTAGGCTTTATTTTGTTTTTCTGAATTTGTTCAAGTGTCTAGCATTTTTGACATTGAACGCTCCTGTTGAAGATTAATGTTTGCAAGTAATATTTTCTGTGACTTTTTATTGTCTTTTGTAATAGATTTGTTATATATGGGTAAGTACCTGTACAAATCCAGAGCAACATCCAATATGTGAATATTCGAATGGACGGCATGTTCAAACAATATTTTCTCTGGGAAAATAAAATAATAAAAACCAAAAATAATGAAAAAAGTATGAGAATGTAATTTTTGATAATTTAAAAGTATTTGCAATCTTATTTATTAAAACCGTGCATGATAAGAATATATGATATTAGTATGGAAGATTGCGAAACGTGAACGGATGGTGAACAATAACATGGTATAAGTTTAAATTGCATATCTAAATACAATCTTTGACATCTAAATGTTTTAAACTTCTTTAATATTAAAAATTTTAAAATACTTTGAATTCTTTATTTTATGTAAACAATGTCAACCATGTTTCAAAAAGTGTCCATCGAAGAAAGTTTTTATGTTCCATTATTTAAAGTTTGAAAAACGACTTAATTATTTCTTTCATTTTTTTTCACAGCATTTTAATTAAATAAAAATGTATCCTGGTCACTCTACAATATCCTATATTCCTGCACTATTTGTGATATTGCTGTCTAACAGCCACCCATATGACAGTGTATAACGGCATGATTTCATAGAGTTTGCCTCTAGTTTTTGCAAGCATTTTATAATGCGCTATTATTAATTATTGGCTTAAATGAACAAGAACAGAAATTATTTAATACATAATCCTGAAAAATATGCATTTTTGCATAAACCGTCTTTGTGTTTTGAGAGACAATTAAATGTATTTATTTCATATCAAAATCAATCAAGAACTTATACTACATGTACAATCTTTAGAATTCATAACTTACCAAAAGAATATGTACTCCATTTGGTTTTCTTATCACTTAACGTTGCATAAAGATACATTATTATAATATATAGATAATAGTCTGTATTTCCCATGTCTTGCAATCACACAAGTTCAATCCCGAACATTGGAAATACAATCGACTGTCAAATAATCAGCAGGTAAATATGATCAACGTCACCAATATCTATAGATAATGCATGTACCAAGTTACTAATATGACAGTCGCTTACACTTTCTTTTGTCTTATGGGTCCTTAGATTTACAGGTACAAGATACCGAATTAATTTTGGTAAAGAGGAGAATTGAAAATTCGAAATCCTGTGACGAAAAAGACAAATCAAAGGGTACGGATAAACAAGACTAGAGGCTATGTGTATGTTGTTGACTATTATTTCTCCTGCATTTCGAAATGAACATGCCCTTACTACTGTCAAAGAATTTATCGTTATTTTTGTTATAATGCATACGAAAGCAATAGAATATTTTTGGAGTGAACAAATTCTTTGGATGATTTAGATAAAGTCAAGTCTATTAACTCGGTTGATTCGTATGAAGAGGGAGCATTTACCAAATAAACTTTCTGAAAAAGAAATAAAAAGCTAGATGCTAATGCCATCTGCATCTTTTTCAGCCCGTTAAAGTATGACCCCCCTTTCAGATTGAAGTTATTCATATACATAGATGGCGGTCAGAAATTATCGCGGTATTTATGTGAGACAAATATAAAGCATGAGTTTTATATGCTATTTCAACCCATACCCAATGCAAAGTAATGTCTTGAAACTCGTTCGAAAAATGTCACAGTTGCCGTCCAGAGTTTGAAATCGGAAGAGAGAGATAGTTTATAAATAAACTATAAAAGAGCTGGTTGAAAAATAAACTATAAAAACATAAGAACGTTTCATTAAAGCAATATTTCAACATCATCTCTACATGGAGTGTATATTCCCAGGTATGAATTATTTCAGGTCTTGAGTTTTCAATCATGGTGTTGATAGGAGTATGCAGCTTATATCAAAGTTATTGAACCAATATTTCAAAATGGTAAAGTCAAAGTTATTCTTCGGAAGTTTTACGAACTTAACCTATCTCGGTGAGCCTGCTATTGAATTTATGACCATGGATATGTTCCATTTTACGTAGCAACAAATCCGGTTATCCTTTCCTTGTCCACGAATGTGATCTATCTTCAGATATTTGTTGGTTATAAGCAACATGGCGGATGGCATTAGTGGAGCAGGAACTAGATTCCCTTCTGGGACACCTGCCTTCGCCTCAACATTTTTAAATGGTTTACATTCTTCTGTTTTCAGTGTTGTATTTTTGTGTTATTTTTAATGTGTGCTGTCTAGTGAACTTGTCTATATTGTATTGCTTAGATTAAAGCGACAATAGTTTATTGGTGTTGAATTGAATCTCGTAAATTGATTAAGAATGACAAATCAAGGTATCAAACAAAAAACTGAGGTAATCGCATGAACTTCAAAAGGAGCGAGATCGGGCCTTGCGGTCATGAAACTTTCGAGCACGATTTTTGTACTCACACTCAGAAATCAACCAATCAAAATACTGGATTTGATGTTTCGAACACATATTTTGTACTCCGAGTACTGAGTAAAGTTTTATGACCGAGGGCCCATGTGCGTCAACATGGTAAGAGTCTACTACTACGAAGACATCACCAACCATGCTAAGACACACTGATTAAAAATGTCACAATCAGGAATAGGACACATTCGATTAAAATTAAAGATATGACGACTATAATAATATCTAATGATCTCAGACAACGAAACATGTCGCTAGTTAAAACTGCAGTCATCTAAATCTTGTACATTCGGTCTTTAATATAGATTAATATGAAATTTACATGATCGCACCGATGATTTATAATTTTGCCACTGTCTTTATGTTAATCTAGAGGCATATCTCAATTCGTTACCTTCAGAGTGTTATTCCTGGAGGCTGTAGTAATTGCCGAACTTTTCAAATCATCTCAATTCACCCCTGTTTTTTTTGGTAGAGTTATTGTTGCTCAATCTTATGTTTTCTATATTTGTATACTATAATTTTGTTTTCGTCTCCATGTTGTTTCCGGTCTTTCTTAGACTTTTTTTTTAGCTTTTCGGTTTTGTTTTACTTTTGTTTATTTTGTTTATTTTTATAATTTTCATAAAAACTTCTTTTGTGTTTTCTATATTTTGGATTGGTTCCCTAGTTAAAGGGAAAACGGTAGTAATACTGTGTTTTTCACATCGGCGATAAAAAATCAAATGCTCTGAATTTTCTACAATATATAATACAAATCAGTAAAAAAGTAAGTTATGTGTGAGAGAAGTACTTCATTATTTCGTATTAGAAATTAAAGTAAAATGACAAGTTGACCATCTTCCTATTGAGCTTGGCTGTAGTATTCATATCAACATATACACTTTGTTAATGAAAATGCTAACAAAACCGGACGGACGCCCGGTATTTCTATGTTCCCCGCAACGCGTCGCGGGGGGACAAACATATAATTTATACTCATACTTCCAATCAAAACTCAGAACTAAAAAATTGACTTCATCACCTGGGTGAAACTAATACCACGAAAATGAAATAACACTATTCTCCCATTATTATCTGCCAGTGTTTAATTGCAATTGTCTAAATAATCTCTGAGTTTGCCACAAGTTATTTTTTACATTCTAAATTGTGAGTATCTGTGAATATTGCTTCTAGTTTCTGTAGTTTATTATTATATCTTTTTAAGAAATTCATCACTACATTTGATTTCAGATTGATCTGTTCCTTTTGCATTTCTATCACTCATTTGATACTTCTTCTCTTTCTTGTATTTCTTTTTGCAGATTAATACAATTATAGTTACTGTTAAGAGTAACACAATAGTTATAATACCAGCAACCAATCCTGCATTTGTTGTTTTCTCTTCTCTTTTTCCTGTGAAATATGTTAAGTGTATAGATCAAACGAGCTAATATTAGGCATATTTTTAGTGTGATTGAAACATTTATTGAAGTTAACCCCCGAAAACCTAGAATATAGACATATGGTCACCTTTATCTTCTTCTGACCGGCAGCAGAATCCTTGTTAAAGTGGGGTGTCCGTTAGTATAAATACAAAGCCACGTCTGAATGCGGAAGTTAAATCAGATGCGTTGTGTAAACAAACTACCCCTTCTATGCACGTTAAAAAAACCCTTAATTAACCCAATAAAATGAATTAACTGTTGGTATCAATTTCAATATTAGGTAATTCCTTGAATTCATAATTATACGTATTGATATTATATATGACGTATATTTATACCGGCCACAATTCTAAATTGCCAATGAAAAATCTTTATTATTCTTCTGTTTTGCGAAATGCATTTGTTGAACAACGCGAGATTCGATTGATCTCAGTTCATCATTTATATATACATTATACATTATGGTGATGTTCTTTTGGTCCCTTCTTACGGTGTGTATATTTCACAACGTGTTCGCTACGCTCTTGTCTGTTGTAGCGTTTTAGATTTCAATGAACGTAATTTATGTTTAACTGGTAAATGATTAAGTCAGGGATTTTGATACCACAAATTAATTAAAACCTTTACCAATTTTTTTCATAAATACAAAGTTTGGCTGTGTCTGTCCCAAGTCAGGAGCCTGCAGTACAGTGGTTGTCGTTGGTTCATGTCTGTCATATTTGTTTGTTGTAAATTGTTTTGTTATGAATTAGGCCGTTAGTTTTCTAGTTTGAACTGTTTTGCATCTTTCTTGTTGGGACCTTTAATAGTCGACTTCACGGCATGGTTATTTCTCATTGATGAAGGCCGTACGGTGGCCTATTATTGCTGGCTACCACTTCATTTTGGATCCTCAATGCTTTTCAACTTTGTGTTTCATTTGGACTTTTTGACTTTTTTGATTAGAGTGTCACTGACGAGTCTTTTGTAGATGAAACGTGCGTCTGGCATACAAAATTTCAAACCTAGCTGGTATCTATGATGATTTTATTCATTTAAACACTGGTGGATAGTTGTCTATTTGGCAATAAAACCACATCTTCTCACTTTTATATATATTAATAATTTATTTAGACAAACTTACTTTTAAAAATGATATTGATATCTATCATTTCGCAGAATTTACCAGTATATTTTTTTAAACATCTGAAACGAAAACTCAAGTTAGTTACAACTGAAAACAATTGTTTGAATATAAACAAATACCTTGCATGTAACGATTTCTAAAAAAACTAAGTTTAAGGTTACTTTGTATTAAAATTAATATATGCTTCTAGAAAAACACCCATACTGATTCATGACACATACAGTAAATAATAGGAATAATTTCTGTATTTTTGCATTATAAAACAACATTTGTCATGAATTTAACGTAATCTCTCATATCATAGTTGGCTGTTGCTGAAAATTTGTGTCACAGATAGCCATGCATATTTTCTTCTCCCTTATCTTAAAAAATATTAGACAAAGATTGGTGTAATTTTTAAACCTGATACCTGTTATGGGTTTATTTACAACCACGTGCACTGTGTCGATACCACTCCTGGTGAAGGTTTCCTACTCGATGGTTTCACCAGCCCAATAGTCAGTTTTTCTGTACTGACATGAATGACCATTGAATTGGTTGTCGGTGTGACTAGAGGAACAAGAACTCATAAGTTGACCTATGATTTTTATAGGGCTATGTTGCTGTGACTTAAGAGTTTTTCGTTGAAATTAAGCGGACAATAATATTGTTTGTCTTTTTTATTTTATTTCGCAAGTCAGGAATATGACAGTTTTTTTCCATTCGTTTGATGTGTTTGAGCTTTTGATTTTACCATTTGATAAGGGACTTTCCGATTTGAATTTGCCTATGAGTTCGGTATTTTTGTTATTTTACTTTTTATCTATTTCTTCTGGTCATTGTATTGTCTCGTCTTTCGGTCCCCTTGGCATCATTTTACGCATTATTGATTACAAGAAAACAGTTCGATTATTTATAACAACGAAGGTACTGAACTAACTACCTTATAAGAGAAACCTAGAATTATTGAGCCACAGTAAAGTACACAAATTAGGCACATTGAAAACAACAAGACAGTTAAGGCAATATGAATATAAATGAATAAAGACCAGTATTAAGGATGAAGCGAAACAAATTTCTACGAACACAAAAATTGATACCCCTATATAATAAGCTTCAAATCCCTATTAGGAATATATTTTTTAATGTCTTTATATATTTTTGGGTTTAGTATATGAAATGTTAACCACACACAACATTCAAACGTTTAATTCGATATGCTTGAATGCAAATTGAATCGGCGTCTGAGAAATTAATGTTTCATTATTATCAGAGTCGTTTTCAATTAGCATATGACACTAGGTTCATAAAACAAGCAAATGCATTCCAGATATTCTGGTTTGTACCTTAATGTATACTTACGCACAGCGAACAAATCTATAATCTATGTAAGTAGCAAAACATGTCCCTCCGTTCCGACAAGCAATGGTTTGGGTTTCATTTTCTGTACATTTCAGTCTATGATTTCCTGGCATTTCAACCTGACCATTGGTAGCAGTGTGACCTTGTGATTTTGGTTGATTTGAGCTTCGACCGCAGCCTATGTATGAATAACAAGCAGAACGTAAATAGTGACACATGTGTTAAAAAAATGTCAGAATATCACAAAAAAAAAGAAAAGAAAAAGAATAACAGGATAGTATCTGCTGAACAGATGACAATTAAATTATGTAGAATTGAGAATGGAAATGGGGAATATGTCAAAGAGACAACAACCCGACCAAAGAGCAGATAACAGCCGAAGGCCACCAATGGGTCTTCAATGCAGCGAGAAAATCCCGCACCCGTAGGTGGTCCTCAGCTGGCCCCTACATAAAATTGTGTACTGGTTCAGTGAAAATGGACGTCACACTAAACTCCAAAACATATAAAGGAACTAAAATTAAAAAAGCATACAAGACTAACAAAGGCCAGAGGCTCCTGACTTGGGACAGGCGTTAAAATGCGGCGGGATTAAACATGTTTTGTGAGATCTCAACCCTCCCCCTATACCTCTAGCCATTGTAGAATAAAGAAACACATAGCAATACGCACAGTAAAACTCTAGTTTCGCTGAACAAAAGAGGCGGAAGATACTAAGTGGACATTCAAAACTCATAAGTCGAAGAGAAACTGACAACGACATGGCAACAAACGAAAGACGACGAAAAGACAAACAAGTCTACAAAACACTACATAGAAAACTTAAGGCTGATCAAAATTGGGGTGATCTCAGGTGTCCCGGAAGGGTAATTAGATCTTGCTCCAGTAGTCACCACCGTCGTTCGCCAAACTAGAAATCAAACCAATTGATGAATAAGATATACTAATGGCCGGCCTTAAACACTTAGAATCCATTTTTTATACCAAAATTTATGATAAAAGAGATGATTTTTCATTTCCTATTGTTAATTATTCATTTTTAGATGGTGACGTTCCCTTGTCACATCTTATGGTGTTTATATATCTCAACTAGTTCGATTCGCTCGTGTATGTAACAACGTATTTGATTTCAACGAAAGAAATCTCTGTATTACTGAAAAATTATTACACCAGGGTTTTCGATATCACAAACTATTCAAAACATTTACTAAATTTTATCATCGGTACAAGGACATCATTCGTAAATATAAATCAACATGCAGAAATCTTATACGTTCAGGTATTTCACATCCAATATCTTATGGTAATATTCTTTACAAAGCACAAAAATGTCGGCATTCACCTCAAAAGCTAACCAAACTTTTAAACAGACTTATTCGGAAGGGAAATAGTTACGATACTGTTGTTAGATCATTGAGCATTGCATATTTTGGTATTAATATTGATTCACTCATAGGGTCTTTGCATCGGAAATAAACACATTTATTCTAAAAATAGTTGTTGGCATGATACGGGTTATGTTCTTCTCATATATTTTATGATGGTATGATACTAAACCCCTAACGGGAGGGATTGTATGTCAGTAACTGCTAGTAGTCCTTTGTTAATTTATGTATCATTGTAATTTTGCTTAGTTTCTTTTGTTACCTATTCTGACATTGGACTCGGACTTCTTTTAAACTGAGATTTACTGTTTTACTTACTGTACTGGGGAGGGTTGAGATCTCACAAAACATGTTTTACCCCGCCGCATTTTTGCGCCAGTCCCAAGTCAGGAGCCTCTGGCCTTTGTTGGTCTTGTATGTTTTTTTAATTTTAGTTTCTTTATATGTTTTGGAGTTTAGTGTGACGTCCATTTTCACTGAACCAGTAAACAATTTTATTTAGGGGCCAGCTGAGGACCACCTCCGGGTGCGGGATTTTCTCGCTGCGTTGAAGACCCATTGGTGGCCTTCGGCTGTTATCTGCTCTTTGGTCGGGTTGTTGTCTCTTTGACATATTCCCCATTTTCATTCTCAATTTTATTTGATGAGCAGGTACAATCATATGTTATATATGATATTGTTATACAACAACAAAAATAGAAACTAACATATATCTCTTGTCTTGATACCCAGGCTGTTTAATATTGTTTTTTTGTTTTTGTTTAGGGGTTGCACCATTTCAAACAATTGTAACCCTCGTGTCCTTTTATGATGAATAAGTGTTTAGATACAAAACCCACAGTGTGTTATACTCATTATGTTAATTGGAATCATTTAACAGAAATTATTTCATGAAATAAGATACGTATCACTTTTTGTTAACAGCACTTCTGTCACTATCATTAGTTGGTCGATTTGAGTCCGAGGTTTTTGCTGACATATGGAATTGCATCATAGTAATTACAAATTCGGTGATAAGCCTCATTCGATTATATCGCAATCGAGACAAACTTTAAGACAGTTGGAACATATCCGTGCTCCTCACTGACACAGATGTTCAAAATATTCACTAATTTTGGATTTATTTTGTGACAGATCATCTTAATTATTTTCGTTCTTATACTAAAAATGCCTAGATTTAGGTAAAAAAGATTGAAAAAAATCATTGCAAAGCTGTTCATTAATACAGCTTGCAGTTAAAACGGCACGTATTAGCTTGATAGCGACATTGATAGTGTGAATAAGCATACATATTCAGAACAAATGTTAAGTGACCTTACCTGTACAGTATTCTATCAAAATAAAACAAGGAAGCACAATTCGTATCAATAACATGTTCAGGGGGTAGTCTATTTTACCTCTAAGTAAATACATTTGATAAAAATTTATCCAGTCGACAGTTTTTAAATAATATCATGTAAGATAATTTTAATGGCAAGGCCGTGTGAAATTGAGATAACATAGACTGAGTTACCGGTAATAAATTAACTCATAACCTCTTTAACTTACATTCAGATTAAAGTGTAAATGGAGTTTCTATTCGTATTATTTTTTATTTTAATTTCATTTAATCAGTCAACCTTCTACTTTTAAAATTCTTTAGTATTTATTCTTCACCTATCTTACCGGGTATATTTCATGGTAACACTTGGTTAATACAGGTAAAACATAAATAAATTTGTTTTAAGTTACAAAACTGTATACTAATAAACTGGATTTTTTTCTACGTATTCATGCCTAACAAGTGTGCTATCACTGTAACCTACAAGTTATGACTGTTCACATGGTACCGGACCTTTTGTTATAATACATAAAAAGAATAACAGAAATGGCCATATTGGATATACAACAGATCACATCAATCCGAAACAATAGACGATGATGATGATGATGACGGAAGGGTGCTTAACGTCTAGCGGCAAATTAATATGCATATTCAGGACGAGGAAATATTAATGTAATATGAATATGTACCCAGCTTTGTACTAGACCGACACGCTGAGCCGGATTTTTAACGTGCTAGTTCACAAGGCAACAGTCCGTAGGAAGAAATGTCACCTTACCCGGACACATTATTCTGATTCCGAGCCGACCAGTCTTTGGTCTTACTCCTTAATTCCGCGTGCTTAGCGGAGTAGCAGCAAATACTAATTTTAAAGTCTTTGGTTTGACCCGGCCGGGGTTCGAACCCAAGACCTCCCGCACTCGAACAATAGACGAACAACCAACAATAAAATCATTTATCTACCAGGCATGATACTATAGATAACATTAACAAACTTTTTTTTTTTTTCAGATACATCTCTCATTGTTAGGGAAACTGCATCTAAATGAAGGGCATTTGCAGATATTTACAATGTGTACGGCAATGTTTTCAAAGATATCAAGGGAAATATAAAAAAAAGATGTGGTATGATTGCCAATGAGACAACTCTCCACAAGAGACCAAATGAATACTTGTTTATGTACAACAAATATAGATAAACATGTACTTAACTCTAATCAGCTAATCATAATTTTGAGTTTGTGATCTATGACCCAGCTACGAAATTTTATTGGTGTATTTGGCAAAACCTTTCGGAATTTTGGCCCTTCGTACTTTATTAGCCTTTTGACTTTTTTTATGCGAGCGTCACTGATAAGTCTTTTGTAGACGAAACGCGCATCTAGTGTACACAATTTTAAACCTGTTATATTTGCTTATATAGATATAAGAAGATGTGGTATGAGTGCCAATGAGACAACTCTCCATCCAAGTCAAAATTTATAAAAGTAAACCATTATAGTTTATTTAATGTTTAAATGAATTTAGAATACGGATGTTTAAGGATGTAAAGACTTGTTGCACAATAAGCACGTGGCAATTGTTTACATACACTTTCTACATTTACACGTGGTCAAGTTATAGGCGCTTTTTGATTGGATGCAGCGAGTTTCGACTGCAACCAATTAAAATCATTACCTTGTGTCTCCGAAATTCTATCTCAATCTGCCAAGGGTGGAGAGGAGGGAAGTGGATCGTAACCCTTGGCTAGCGAAGATGGATAATGATATACAAGAGCATTAAAGGTCAAAATTCAAACGAAAATGTGTCGAGCTGATTTATGGTCCTATATTTTTGTCGATACAAGTGCGGTCATTTTTACGATTAATATGGTACTTTCATACAATGCAAGTGTATACTGATCTGTCTGTATGGGGAAAAAAGCAGTAATAAGAGACATAATTTGAGAATTCTCAAGTTGTGTGCATTGTAGTTCTAAAAAAAATCATCACATTTAAGATAACAGGCAGATACATGTAATTATCGGTAGTGCTCGACACAATATAAAGACTTTTTGAACTCGTTCGCTGCGCTCACTCGACAAAAAGCTTCATATTGTGACTCACAGCTGATATTAAAATTGCAATATGAAGACAACCTGATAATCGGTACTTATCATTGCGAAGTAATAGCACGTCTTATCAAAGTAAATCGTTTAATATAGTAAATTCATAGTAAAGGTTCAAACAAATCACGGCGAATCATCATACCTCACATACATTTGTATAGAGTTTTTTTTTTTATTTCACATGGTTAAAACCATTAATACACTAATGACAATAAACATGTGAAAGCATTACACTTTCATAAATACAAGTTTAATCAAAGTACTGAAGTACTGAACATCGGATGACCGCCAGTACTTGTGGATGGTCACAAGCACTTATCTCAGAAAAAAAAATCCCATCTCTATACCTGAATGTGAGGTAAAGGTACATAATTATATTTTTTTCTGAGACAAGTTCGTGCGTGGATGATGAATAAATGACAGGGAATTCAACCTCACCGTAATAACTATTATATTGTAGTGGTATAATCATTTGTTATCAGTATACGGTTTGTTGTTATATATTATATCAGTATTTGTATATAACAGTTACATGTATACCGGTATATAATTTTCATCCATTTGTATATCATTCTATTCTACTAATCTAATAATAATGCAGTGCAAGCGGATGGTGGACACTCTTCTGTTACAATTCGATTTTTCTAATAGAATGGATTTGAGTAGGCATTCATATTTTCCCGCAAACGTTCTTGAGATATTCTTCCGCATGCGTTAACACAAATTTTCGGTATTCTTGATTTGTTATTGATATATATATTTCTCACGACAAAACATTTTCATATCATTTATCTATGTTCCTAAAAAAATTATTTTCATAAATATTTATTGATGAAATTGATATATAACAAGCGATAAGGAATGTTATTTTGCGTTCGGTTATCAGTCAAAAACAAAAGTCACGTGGGTAGAAATGTCTGTGGCAACAATACACCGGAATGCCCTCACGGTCATCCGATGTACAAATATGAATATGAAATATCTAAAGGCAATATACAGTTTCAACAATAGACAGATGAATGTATCATAATCGCATAAATTCGAACGTAGTGAATGAGGTAATAATATATTGTCTAAACAACATTATGTCTACGAGCAGATAAACTTATATAATATATGCACTTTTCTTTTGCAATAGAAAAAAAAAACTACAAACAAATATTCATCTCATGTCTTATCTTTTTGATTTCTTTGCGATTGTATCATTTAGAACATTTGAAACCCTTTGTGTCCTTTTATGATGTAAAAGTTCTTGAATACAACGCCTACAGTTTGTTTTCTTATGTCGTTTCTCTGAATCATTTAACAGTAATTATTTTATGAAATAAGATATATATCAGTATCGTTGATAGTCCTACCTTAACTATAATGATTATTAGTTCGTCCGATTTGAATTTAAATTGTTTTGCAGACATATTGAATTGCATGGTAAATCATTTAACATTTTTTTTTTCATTTTTGTCTTCTCTACCAACAAATAATCGAAAATAAATCAAAAATGTATGAATCGATATATTTTGTTTTAAATCAGTTTGAGAACTCAATACTAATAAAAGGCATTGCTGAATCACAACCAACATATAACAATCACATTTTTTAAGATGTTGAAGGCGTTTATTCATGAAATCACTATAAGTGATTAAATATTTTTAATGAATCATAGATTTTTCTAGGTGTTTGAAAAAAAAACTTCTTGTTAAAATATGCAAACGTAATTGACAGAAAACCAATGAAAAATATTAACTACATACCTCCTCATCCCTCGGAATTGCAAACTAGTATATACATTATTGTATTATATGTCTCTGTTGGGATTTATACTATTCTGAAAAGTCCACCCTGTAAATAAAAACCTCTTAAACAATTGCAAAAAATAAAATTATTCATGAGAAAACAACTAGTTACATATCTTTAAACAGTATAAAACTGACGCCAAAGGTGGAGTAGGGTATAAAAAATATAGCAACCCGTCCGGCAGGCCATTGCAGAAAGGTGGCGTCTACTTGGCTATGCGGGATGTAATTATAAATACGCAAATACTTCTAGTCAGTCAGAATGGGGATATATTATTGAAAAACAACTTACTGGATTTATTGTTTATTCGTTCTATTTCTTAATATGCACGGACTCTGTGTCGTTAGACGTTACAAACTTAAGAAATTGTCTTTTTTCGTCTATAAATGCTGAAAACTCTTTTTTGAACGCGGTTGTCGCTATCATTTGATAATTTGGGGGGGGGGGGGGGGCAGAATTATGCTGAAAATGAGTATCCTGGCCTGGTAAGAGCTGAAAGTAAATACCTTTGCCAAAGACAAGCTGAAAATGAATATTTTGCAACACAAAAAGTAGGAAATAATTTGAACAAAAGTGAAAATAAAAGAAAATATTGGGTATGACGTATAATGTAATGAAACATGATGTTGGATGTAAAAGGGAATTGTGTATGCAATTACCTGGCGACAAATCAGGTGCTGCTGTCACTTATCGCTTACAACCAATTCATTACTGGCTAGTCAAATTTAAGTACATTGAGTCTTTATTGTTTTGTCACAGATAAGAAACACATACTGTTACCGGGATATCTGAAAATTATCTTGACAGATTATTAAATAATTAACCTGAAGCGATGCGTATGAATAGTACTGATTTTACCGCAATGGATACGACAGGCAATTGGCTGAACGACTAAACATAACTTGCTAATTTAATTGTATTATTCTTTTACTGTGCCTTGACGGTAAGTTTTGCTCTCTACCTTTTGAGAGAACATATTAATGATTAAAGTAGATTTCACCAAGTATTTTAGAAATTCATTTTAAGAAATCGTTGTAGCATGCACAGAACACACCATTTTAGAGAAATAATTCAAAACATTTGTTTTAGCAATTCAAGAATTACTAGCTATCACCTTTCCAATGACTCTGTACAAAACATACATATAGAAATTGTCAATAACATTTACATAATAGTAACTTGGTGGGAGTAAAGTCTTCAGGTTAAAGTTTTTGGTCAAGTCAGGTTAAAGTTTTTGGTCA